TGGTCGAGTGCTCGTGGAGGTGCTAGTGGAGGTGCTGGTAGAGGTGCTGGTGGAGGTGCTGGTAGAGGTGCTGGTAGAAGTGCTGGTAGAAGTGCTGGTAGAAGAGCTAGTGGAAGTGCTTGTGGAGGTGCTAGTGGAGGTGCTAGTGGAGGTGCTGGTAGAAGTCGAGGTAGAGCTTTCAGCTGTTTGCTCCTCCTCTGACTCTGATGTAGAGGTCGAGGTGGAAGTGGAAGTCGAAGTGGAGGTCGAAGTAGAGGTCGAAGTAGAGGTCGAAGTAGAGGTCGAAGTAGAAGTAGAAGTAGAAGTGGAGGTGGATGTCATGAGGCTGTCGGGGCAAAAGCAGGCGCAGTCTTCGGCATCCTCGACGTCATCGAGCGCCAGAGATTTGATAAAGAGACGCTCGTCTGTGTTGTTGGCTTCGAGCGTCAGATTGAAGGTGGCGCTAGACGAGGGCACGAGGAGTCGATCAATCTCGTGCAAGACGCCATTGATGGCCTCAAAGTCAGCGGTGACCACGCGGGCATCATTCACAAAGACCTCATCATCGTCGGCAGAGCTGGCGAGGGTCAGAGTGGCATTTTCAGCCAGAGTTGGAAGAGTCGTGTTGCCGAGGGCGACCAGCTCATCGCTCATGAGGCGCTCTGGCACGACGTGGTACATGAGCAGCTCCTGAAGGTCTTCACGGTGCTCTGGCTGGCTCAAAGCCACAAAGTCATCAAAGGTGAGTTGATTAAAGGCCCGATTATTCGGCACAAATACAGTGCCGTTCATGTCGTCGAAGGACCAGGAAAGAAACTCGTCCAAACCCGTGGCCTGAAGCAGGGCTTGGGCTAAAGTAAAGCGCCGCAGGTCCTCAATGTACATGAATAGTGTAGGAACCCAGTCCTCATCTTCCTCGGTTGTGATGGATTCCTCGGTGGTGGCGGGCTGCTCCGTTGCTTCATCAGTCGGTTCGAGAGTCCATGGCTCTTCCGTGGTGGGTATGTCCGAAACTTCGTCGGTTGGTTCCAGGGTCCACGACTCTTCCGTTGTGGGGCCTCCCGTGGTCTGTGCGTTCACCAGGCACAAGCAGCTCATGCCTAGCACGAGCGCGGGTAAAAACCAGCGTGCCATGTTGTCTCAACGAGACGCTCAAGCAGAGCTCAAGCCAAAGATGTTAGTGAAAGCACGGGGTGTGCACTGTGCCCAACAATTGGGGATTGGTTGAGGGAAGATCCTTCAAGTAGCTACCAACAAGGCTCTAGCGGGCCGGAGTCTGCCGGTGATGTGCTGTCGAAGGAACAGTAGTAAAATGCTGGCAACCCGACGCCGGTTTGGCCTCGGCCTCGAACTGGGAAGGTGACACCTGGGATAGCGAGTATTGGGAGGAGGTGGTGACGGCTGCGACCTGCCGATCGCAAGGCACAAGCAGGCAGTCACAAGTTGATGGCGTGAGTAAACCCTGTCTTGCCCATTGCCTGATGATGGCCTCAGGGGCAACCGCATCATCGACACGACAGGCGGGACTGCACTGCGTGCAGCTCGCTGTCTTGATCATGATGGAGGTGGCTCATGTGTCCTAGTGTTGGTGATCTGGTCTCGCTCAGCTTTGAGCGGCAATACATCACGTTCATGCTTGAGGCACCACGACAGCAGTAGAGACAGTGTTTGGTCAAGCCAAGGTCGAAGCTGGTGGCACTGATGACTGTCGCGTTGGGCATGTGGCAGCTCGGTCACGCGCCATCACAGGGTCCTGCACATACGAGTACAGGCCTTCACGTTGAGTTGGCACTGGGTTGCGGCGCAGGAAGCAAGAGTGTGACCGGGGAGAAATGCCGCGATGATGGTTTGGCCACGCGTCGTCAAGTGGCGCTTGGCAGTGCAGCAATGGTTTGGCTGATGACTTGCCTTCTCACGTGATGTGCGGCCATGCGTGCTGGCAAGGAGCAGTGCTGCTGCACAGACCTCAAGTTTTGCTCATCGGCGTGGACGGGCGACGAAGAAAGGATCCCTTCCCCCATCCACGACCGGATGGGGGTTGTGGTCAAGCCTTGAGCTTTGGGTTATGGCGGAGAATTGTCACACCACTGCGATCCCGCGTCATGGTGTCAGTCCTGATATGCGTGTAAGGGTCTGCAAGATGGCTCCATGGGAGACTCTCAAACGCAACCATCTACTGCTCAGGGTTTGTTGTGAAGGTACGCAAGTTCGACAGGGGCAGAGTTGTTCTGGTGATGGCGGTGGTAGAGGGAGGTTTCGTGTTGCCGGCTCGCAGTTTGCCTTTTACATGTCAATGCTGGCGCGCGTGGCCAAGCCCGATCGCTCTGTTGACCGTAACAGGGGGTGAGATGGCGGTCGTACATGGGACGCGGTTCTGGTTTAGGTGCGCGCAGCATCGGCTCCGGCCATCTGAACCGAGTCGACTGAAGATGCGTACGCGTCCTCCTGCTCTTCAGTCCCAAAACGCGCGCACGCACGAGCGTACGCGCGTGAAGCTCTGGGACGGGTCGTAGGGCAGTGTGGTCGCGGACAACTCTGGGCAAGACAATGGAATAGCAACATCGTCCATTCCTTCCGAGTCACCGCCTGTGATGAGACTGTATTCCCAGTCACGTTTGGTCAGACAGACGCAGGCTTGTCCCATCACCTCGTTTACTCACTTCTCCACCCATCCCACCAACACCCAACACCACCATCCAACACACCTAGCAGCCAGCACCGCTTCTCCCTGCTTCTCCACTGCCTCCACTGCTTCCACTGCTTCCACTGCTTCCACTGCTTCCACTGCTTCCACTGCTTCCACTGCCTCGATGCGTCCAGCCATCAATCAGCCTGACATCTCAAGACTGCTCGTGATGCGCCAGTTGCACGTGCAATTGGAACAGAACGTTCAGGTCGCGAAAACAGTGAGCTACATTCAACTCAAACACACATTATATATTTTAGAGGGTAGAGTTTATCTTACACTTTTCGCGCACTGCTTGTCGCGTTGGCGTGTGTGAGCTGCCGCCGAGCGCCTGCCTGCTGCTCGTCTTGGTCCTCGATCGCCATTGCTCTTGGGCCCTTCTCCTTGCAAGGTGGAACGCATCGTTGGCTGTGAACTGGTGCGAGGCACCGGGCTACCGATGGTGCTGCTTTTTTTTTTAAAAAAGAGAAGATACACAGCATTATCGTCAGTCCGAGGACAGTGTCCTTTTATGTTGGCACGGTTGGTGCGCACACGGTAGGCGCTGGTGCAGGGCCTGAAGATGGCATTGGCTGGTGATGGAGCCATTATGGCACCGCTGCGCCGCTTATTAGTGGTGGTCCTGGTACTTGGCGTCTGGCTGCCTCAACCTGTGGTGCCCGCCGTGAGCAAGAAGGACCATCAGACACACATGTTGGACGGCTGTCGCGATGCTCCCGTGTGGACGGCCTGCATGCGAGCACATTGTGACATCTCTGAGATTGATATGGACTACAAGCGCCCATCGCTGGAGGCCCAGACTAAGCAAGCCCGTGATCTTATTGCCGGCGGCCGCAGCGTCCTCACTTTTGGCTACAAATCAAACACACTCAAGACTTTTGACAGCATTCTGAAGGCGATTCGGCACGAGCCTGGGTTTCGCGGGGCCATCATCGTCTGTTCTGGACCTGCCCCTCAGCCTAACCTCGAGAAGTACTACGCTGATAGCAAGGTGCTGTTCATTTGGACCACGCACGCGGGGTTCGATCCCCATCCCAAGATGCGACCCATTCCCCTGGGCTTTAACTTTCATACCCTCATGCAGCAGTCCTACGAGGGTGAGAAGGCGGTGCACTGGATCGACCAGTGGCAAGAGCTCAATCGGGCGCTCAGTCAAGACGTCAAACCGCACAACTCCGTCTATTCTTGTTTTCGCAACACCCACCCGTCGCGCTCTGAGGCATCTCGTGCGTTGGCAACCTTCCCAGAAGGCACCGTGCGCCGCTGTCGTACCAACACGCCACGCCATACCTTTTGGCAGGAGAGTCGCGAGAGCATGTACGTCATGTCGCCCCGCGGCAGCGGTCCCGATGCTCACCGTACCTGGGAGGCCCTGTATCTTGAGGTTCCTGTCGTCCTGCAGCGTACAGGCGCCATCGATACACTTTTTGAGGACATGCCGACGTACATGGTGGACAGCTGGTCGGGCCTTACATTTGACAAGCTGACCGCTGCTCTTACAACCTTGCAGCAGCGATCCTTTCACCGCGATCGCTTTGCCTCGGGCTACTGGCTGGCCCTCATCGAGGACCAGCAGCAGGCCTTTTTGAACGGCACCCTGGCCTTTCCCACGTAAAGCGCGCGTGAACCCCAAGCCAGCCTTTATCCAGCCAGCGAAGACCAAGGCAAAAGACCAGGCGGCCATGGCAACACTTGAAGGTCATATCGGCCATGATAACATTTGAAGAAGCAAAACTGATGCAAACGCATGCGTACAGGCCTCGCCGTCAACTAACGGAACCTTGGCACGACATTCACGGCCGATTTCGCGGGCGATGCGCCAACGCCTATATTTAAGTTCCGCCATCATGGCTGCTGACGACGCGTGGGTCGGATTCTTGGGTTGTAGATGATTCTTTAATTTTTTTGGTTGTGTTGCAATCCGTGTGCTTTGACCACTTTTGACCATCGAATGCGAGTCTTTCTGCTGTTTCTTAGAGTCTTGTCACGGCACGCTGTTTGTGCTCATCCACAGTCGCGGTGTCATGAGATGTGCAGGCCAGATAGTGGTGAAGCAATTCAATTAGTTGGTTTGAGTCGCAACTTTTACAGGCTCTTCAGTCGCGATGCGCGCCGTTTTCGAAGCAGGTTCTGCGGCCTTCTGGTCGTCGTCGGGAGTGGCATCTGCAGGCATTGGGCTCTTGCTACCTCGACTGCCAGCCTTGAGCGGCTGGTAGAGGATGGTCGCATCGGGGGCGAGGTGCCGCCACAGGGTCAAGGTGGCCTGTCGGTGGGACATGGCGAGGTCAATGCGCTCGGCCAGGACCACCACCTCGACATCGGTCGTGTCCACGCCATTGATTTTGCATTGGAGATATGCGCTCTGGGCTGCGGGCAGCGAGGGATTGAAGGCCGCGTTCTCCATGTACCAGGCTCGGAGCACCCGACCATCGCGGAGGCGAAGGGCCACGGCCGAGTGGCAGCCCGAGTATGGAGCATAGGCCTTGCGAGCGGCCACCGAGGCCATGAGAAGGGCTGTCTCACGAATAGTTCCGGGGGAGCCTTCGTGCAGGACCTCGTGGGGACCATCGGCGGCGAGATCAATGGTGGGATGGACCAGCAACGGGTGTTGGTTGTTGAGGTCTTTAGGCAGGAAGGCGTGTGGCAAAACGTCGGCAATGCGCAGCGGTTCTTTTTGCGGCAGGAGGAGGCGCATGTCAATGCCGTTGTGCATTTCGACGATAAACTGGCGGCAGTGGCCGCAGGGGGCAGCGTTGACGGCCAAGGTAACAGGGATGCCGGCATCTGGGTGATGCGCAATGTTGCTAATGGCGGCTTGCTCGGCGTGAATGCTCATGCCAATGGCCTGGTGGTCGAATTCCTGGTTGGCACCCAGGAAAATGTGGCCATGGTCTGTCAGCATGACGGCACCCACATGAAAGTTGGAGACGGGAGCGCGGGCCAAGCTGGCAGCCACGTCGGTAAGGTTCTGCAGGAGCTGATCCGTCGTAAGCTGATGCATGGCCTCGAGCTGTTCACGCTGGGGCTTGGCAATAAACCACTGGTTGGCTAGACCCATGGCAGCCAGAGATTGGCGCAGGGGACTGGCGGCTGCCTTGGCGACATCGGCAGCGGAGCTCATGGTGCAGCGCTTAAAGGTTTGATGGGAGGGCCGGTAGACGGCGAGGGGCTGGGAGCTAACAGCAGTGCAAGGGCGACCGATAGGCAAGAGGAGGGAGCGCAGTGCGCGACCGAGCGACATTGCGGGTCCCAGATGAGGGGTTGCGGAGAAGCAGCAGCAAGACCCCTGGATGGTCCAGAAGCGCGTTTCACAGCTTTCGAGTTGCGGCCGCCACTGGTGAGCAGACACGCGTTACAGAAGCAGAGCGTCCTGAGACCCAGAGCATGTGGCAGGTTGTTGTTGGTGTGAGGAATGATCTTGTGAACCCTTTGCATGCATGTGCAGCTGCTTTGAGCCGTGCTCAGAGCGCCGCTCATCCACTCGGGTCTCTGCCCAAAACCAGGCCGCCACCGGGAAAGGCATGCCGAGAGCCACGCCGAACATACCTGAACACTGTACCACAGCAGCAAAACCCCGGCAGCCTTCCAAATCCAAGTCACCCTTGCCAGTGCTTATCCTTCAACACGGGTGCACTTTGTCGTCGCCAGCCCACCGCCACGTTTCAGCGCGAGTGAAATTAAAAAAACAAGAGAGAGAGAGAGAGAGAGAGAGAGCGCGAGAGAGAGAGAGAGAGAGAGAGAGAGGGGGAGAGAATGAATTGGTTTGGTCAGTTTGAGAAAGAGAGAGAGAGAGAGCAAGAGCGCGAGAGAGCTCGAGAGACGAGAGAGATCAAAAGAGAGTGAGAGAGACGACAGAGGGAGAAAGAGAAACAACAACAACAAAACACATACACACACCATAAAAGATTCAGTGGCGTGCGTACAAAATTTTTGATTTGTTGCCCTCTTATTTTAACTCACTTTCAAGAGCAAAAGAGCGGAAATAATCTGACATGTTATTCTGACAACGTCATCGTTGCGTTTCCTTCCATTTGTTGTTGTTCAGAGAGAAAGCGAGAGAGAGAGAGAGAGAGAGAGCGGGGAGGGCAGCTCCGAGGCAGTGGCGGCACCGGGCATCGGAGGAGACGCAAAGGGTGGAGGCGGTGGGGCGTGTATGAGAAGGGAAAGGGCGAGACGTTTGGGGCCGTGCCTTTGTGTCCAAGTTCTTTGCATTTGGGTGTGCATTTGACCCGTTTTGGTGGGCTGTGTGGGCTGTTCCAGCAGCAGGAGATAACGCGTGACACTCGACGCGACCTGAGTGTGGTGCGAGCTGGTGTGTGGGCCTTTGGCTCGACCGCTCTGCCGGATGCGGGTGTGAGGACTGCCAGTGCTCTCGTGGCTCTATCGCACTCGCGCTCGCACGCACACGTGCACGCCCAGTACACATCAGGACGCTAGTCAGACATCTCCAAGCAAGCATTGTCGTCGTCATGGGGAACGTTCAGGGCTGCCTCCGCGGGGGCAGGTATCGTGTCGTTCACGGTGAGTGACCCAAGCCGATTCTGGTCCCGGCCTCTGTCAAGGCGCTCATGGCCATTCCTCCGCCCATATTTCTTTGCTTGCCCGCCTCGTGCCGTGAATCGGGACCTCGCAGGCTCGGCGGATACCCAAGAGACCACCTTCAACATGGACGGCGACGTGTCCAACGCCACTTCGGGTGCTCACACAGCCACTCTGATGTACAGCCAAGACCTGAGCGCCGATCAGCAAGATGACATTCCAGCCTCACAGCGGGAAGCCATCTACAAACAGGTACCGATACGCCACATGCAGCTGAGGCATTCCTACTGCGTCCCAATCACGTTTGGATGGCTGGTGTGGCTTCCCACTAAATTTGACCTCCTGGCACAGGTCCAAAATACAGTTTCCAAACTTGAGCGCACCGACTCGGTTGACAACATGATTACGTGCTGCATCTGCCTGGACACCATGTTCGAGCCCGTCCGTGCTCCCTGCAACCATACCTTTTGCCGCGTTTGCCTGCGACGCCTTCTTGAATACGAAGGTCAGTCGAACTGCCTTTGAGGTTTCGCTCCACGCGCACCCTCTCGGTCCATCTTCTCCGCTTTCTTGGCTTTGGCTGCCTGGCATTTCTCAATTCCTTCGCATTGCTATTGTTCTTAATCTCAACTCCTCGGTTTGGACCTGCCTGCGCTGATTTCTCATTGTGCAGGAGCCACGCCGTCTTGTCCAAAGTGCCGATCCAGCCTGGCCCGCTTGGATCCCGATCAACTTGAGATTGATCTCAAACTTCTGCACACCATCCAATTCAACTTTTCAGAAGAGCTCGAAGGTCGCCAAGCCGAAGCAGAAGAGGAAGAGCGTGCTTGTGAGTCTTCCCACCTACTCATGCCGCTCGCTTGGCCCACAATACCGCCGCTTTATCGCTCACCCATTGAACCTTACCAAATGCACGTGCGCCTGCTCGTGTGCATCAGATCAACGGGCCCGAGAGGACCGCTTACGTCGTGAACGACTCATGGATTCGGACCCCCTGTCGCTCATGTTCGAGTCTGAAGACGACACAAATCGCCGCCGCGTCCTCCAGGTCAATCCCACTTCTTCGTCGCTTTGGAATCTGCGTGGTGTTCTGCGAGCTCAAGTTTTCAAGCCCCCACGCTATCATAACTCACTTTTTGCTATTCTCATGCGTCACCCATCGCTCGTCTCCTTTTATCGCGCAGCGTGATCTTCAACTTCTTTCCAGCCTGGGCTTCTCCGTCGTCTTGTGCCAAAAGGCACTGTTCGTGGCCTCTGGCGTCCACGCCGAGGCTCTGCATTGGCTGATTCGCCATCAACATCTTCCCCACGCCAACATTCCTTGGAACATGACTCAGCTCCAGGAGCAAATGGCCGTCCGTAACACTCGCCGAAACGCCATCGAACAGATCATGATGCCTAGTACGTGTTACACCCTTTTTCTTCGCTTCTCGATAGTCTTCACCCCGCTGCCAAGTCTACTCTGGACCCGGAACTTGGACACCATGGTTGTGGCGGCGTAGAGGCTTACCATTGCTTTGCGCCGTCATTCGACTCGGTACAGCCCTGGAAAATGTCGTGTCAGGTCGACTCCAGCTCACCATCAGCAGCATGACTCTTGCCAGCACTATGGGCGATGCAGTCTGGTGCATGACGTCCTCGGGATTCCGTGCCTTTCACCAGCCCGAACTCGTTCTACTTCTCAAGTGTCACCCGAGTGTGAGTTTGGTCATCCTCCAATGGTTGGATCTCCCAGCTATCCAGACTCATGTGCAAGATCTGCCGGGTAGGACACCTTCTTCCCACCAGCCTTACCGCGCTTCATGAAGCGACTGTACCGAGCCGTGGCACGGGGGCTTGAGCTTCGTCCCAACATGGTCCTCGAGGTGCGCAGACGGCTTTGGAATATCATCTGCGGGTCTCACAGGCCCAGCTGATAATGGGCTCTCTGCTCTGTCACGCGCGCGCGTTCCCTCGGCTTGCTCTAGGTGGAGCCTGATGAGCAAGACCCTTTTCTGGGAGATCCGATGAATCGCGGTTTCCTTCTCTGTGCTGACTTTGGCCAGCAATTGCAGGGCGTACCCTTGCCCAAAGTGCAACATCTATTTATGATTCTGCTGCGAGGCCCAGACCTAGAATTTGCCACCCGTTACCCGGCCCACTATCTGCTCAGGTTTGTGCACGACCATGACCTCCTTTTTGTTTTGCCGCGTCTCGCCGCCCAGGCCCATCACTGGTGTCAGCTTTTGTGTCGCTCATCACGTTGAACGGGCTTTCACAGATGCGGTCGACGGTGTCGCACCGAGTATCCCTATCCCCTGGTGACGGATCGTACAGAAGTGCCGGTCTGCAATGTGCGCAGTCTCGCGCGCATGGCCTACCTTGATGCCGCGGTATGGTGACAGTTTGGCAACCGTCTCATAATCCCTGGCTACGTTGGTCGTTGTCCACACATGAGCGCTTCATGTCCATGCCATGCCCGCGTGCGGCCCCAACTTGGCTTTAAAACTCAATTTTATATTTTTGCGCACTTGTAAACTGCAGACGCGCGTACCAATGTCATGCTGCGTACGAGTGACACCAACCACCGCCGAGCCAGCATATATCAGCCTGCAATTGCCCTTTGACGCTCGTGCTGCTCTCAATCAATACCTTGAGCATCACGAGTCTGCGCGAGCGCCCATTGCTATCGTCACAGGTCAGCGATCAATGCACGGGGAGGCAATCGTGTTGGGTTGCGCTCATAGTTTGATCTGCTTACCCGCAGATTTAGCTCGAGGGGCGGATGGTTACGTGGTTGCCTCCTTCACTTCGCGACAGCGCGGTTCTGCCATCTTGTCGACGGGAAACAGTCAAGTCAGTGTTGTTGGTGTATCTTTGGGGATGCTTGCGAACACGTCCAATGGTCCCGTCGATCCGTCTTCGCACCTGACTCATGAATTGTACGTCTTCTATAACTGTGCGTTGCGTGCGCTGCTCTGTCTTGGGCAAACACAGCATCGCGTGCTGAGTGCACCCAGTTGTATCATAATGCCTCAATCCTCGGGCTCCAACTCGGCGGGCGGGTTTCTGCGTGGTGACAACTTTGTCATCTCCCTGACAAACACGGAGTGGCAACAGGCCTTGCAAGCCCTGCGCACGTATGTCAGAATATTTCCTGAGCCCAAGGATTTGAGCCGAGTTTGGTGTGCCTAGTTGCGCTACGTTCATGCTTGTGCAGCTGACTTCACCGTTTACTTGTAGGGGCACGGACGTGACGCTTGGGCCCCAGCCCACCTCCTCGCGAAACAGCACTGCTGGACTCCTCTTTCGCATCCGCGTGCGTAGGCCTGTTTTGTTTCCCCTTTCCTTGCCTTGATTCGCGGATAGGAACCTGTGGACGTGCATGTGCATTTTGCACATTTAGGTCCTGCAGTTGGAACTCATCGCTTCTGTTTGCTCTGGGATATTTTTTCCCCTCAGTGGATGTCGCCAAGTCGGCTAGACAGCGGCCTGTTTCATGTTCGACCCAGTGACTTTGAAAGCTACAACATGTCTGAGGTTGCTGATCACGTGGTAAGGTCACCTCTACCCGGGCACGTCCACTTTGGCAGGGCAAAGATAGCCCACTCATTGATCTCCCCACCCTGCGCTCCCTCATGTAGGCACGGGTGTCCACGAACACGCTTTTGCCTGTTATGGCGACGCATTGTGATGAGCTCCAACTGCCGGAACTCAATCCGCGGCTGCGCATCCTGAGTAGGTGGCCCGGTCTTTTGCGACAAAGACCCAGACTTTGTCTCTTGCTGCCAGTGCTGTCTGTCTCGCCCCGCCGCACTTACCTGTCTGCCTTTGCTCTGTTGCCTGCGGTGATGTGTGCCCCCCTCTCTTCAGCCGTGGCTTTGGGTCTGAGCCAAGAGCGCCTGCGAGCTCGCATTGATCAGGCAGATTTCTTTCGGTGAGTTGCGCTTGATTTCGCAAGGCCAGCAGCCTTTTTTTTCTTCTGGTTGTCTCAGCATGGCTATTTGTTCATGGCGGGGCACCTGGGCACAGGTTTGTTGAGGACCTGTTGACACGTATCAACCGAGGGCTCTCCGAGTTGATGGTGCCATGGCATCAAGTGGCCGTGGTCAACCCGTCTGTGGTCACGGTCCACGTTGAGATGTATCCGAGTCAGAGAGCGGTACGGCCCGGCTATCTCCTGTTCCTCTCGACTCAATCAGACTTGGACTCATGGCAATGCGGCTCATGTTCACAGACTTATCGAATTTCCAAGAGCTGGCAGGATCGCTGTCCGCAAATCCCACCCCTCAACATGCGAATGTGGAGCGAGATTTTGCATCCGACCGTGGTGCCCGTGGCACGTGGGCGCGTCGACTTTCAAATGACCATCGAGATCAGTTGACCGCTGTGTGGTCTCAGTAAGATGAGGTGTCCGTTCAGAATGTACAGTTGAAGCGCCAAGCAAATTGATTATTGATTGACATGTGAAGACTTGAGGTATGCGAGGTTGATGTGAGTCAGTGATTCTGCAGCACAGATCTGATTCTCGCTTTTAATTTTTTGTTACCATCGGGACACACACACACACAAGTAGAAAGGCACACGCCATGCAAATCGATTTCAGAACTTTGACAGGACAAAAGAGGGTAAAACACAAAGGGCAAGGGGGTGGATATCTTAAGTACCAACACAAAGGTCTCTCACAGAGGCGGAAGGAAAAAAAGAAAAAAAAGAAAAAAAGAATAGAAAAAAAAGGGCTTGAAAGGAGAAACAAACGACAAGGCTGACTCGCAGGGTTGAAGGAAACCATAAACTAAAGAAAAGCTTGACACGAACAGGATGCAACAAGGCAGCAAATCACTGATTTAGCTGGATGTGGCATTGTTTTGTGCATCTTCCCCACTTTGGTCTGCAGCACCATCCTTTGAACCAGGCTGATCCGCAAGTTTCAACCGATTGTAGTAATACTCAGGCCCACGCTGCCAGGCGGAAAGAGAACGCACAAAAAAGAAATGAAAATGAGCACACAAACAGGCCAGCAGGTCCAGACAGGACACCCACGTGTCTGATACAGAACACAATAGAAGAAGGCAGGAACGTACCTCAGCACGGAAATCCTCAATCGTCTTGTAGCGACCAAGATACTCGCGCAACTTGTCATTAAAGGGGAGAGCAGGCCCTGACTTGCGATAACGCATCACAGCCCACATCTTTTCCAGGCCGTACAAATGACCTAAAAAAAGCAAGAAAGAAGAGTAAGCAACGGTGAAAGAAAGAAAAGAAAAGAAAGTGCGTGATAAATGCAGTTGAACCAAAACACCGCATGAAAAACATTTGATGTGATCATACCCTGCTCAAAATCGGAGATGACCAGGTCTTGAAAGTCCTCAAAGACCTTCTTGCGATAGCAAATTTCCAGGCCATACGAGTAGAATCGGAAAAGACACTCAATGCCATAGCGATGATCGTTGTTGGCGTCCTCAATAGCCAAACGACGGAATTCCTGATAGATTTTGCTGAGGACAGACAGACACAAGCGAAGAAAGGGTAAGTGACAGGGAACAAAACAAAAAAGTCGCTGAGAACGGCAAGCTGAGACAGAATCATGCACCAACCGGTTGAAGTTCTCGCGCAGGAAGAAAGACCAGAAGCGATAAAGAACCTGCATGTCCCGCGACTCAGGGCCGTTTTTGGAACGATCCTTGAGAGCTCTACATGAAAGGAAGACCGTCAGCAATTGGCAATCAACCAATCGAGATCACCGGACACATGTTATGGTGATGAAAACTTACTTGGAGCGGAAATGGTGGTACTTGTGTTCGACCAGACCATTCTTGCCGAGCAGACTGCGCCCGAAGTTGGACTGCTTGTTGACATGCCCACCAAAGGAGCCAGCAGCATCCGAACCAGGGGTGGAGGCCGGCGAGCTGGCATTGGCCACGGCAGAAGGCGAAGCACCAAGATCGTGGCGTGGGCGGACGCGTTCAGAGCCCAGAACCCAGCCCACACCCTGTTCATCAACAGGGTTGGGACCATATTTAACCTTGTAGCCCTTGTGTTGCTTCTTATCCGGTGACTCCTTGGGCGGGAAAAACTTGGGACCCATGGGCGGACGCAGCGTGCGCTGACGATCTTCACGATCCTGCTGCGCCTGCATGTGCGCCAGGCCCGGGCGACCCAAACTCGAGCTCAACGTGCCCTAGGCCAAGAGATTAACGCATGAGTCAGATGGTTGTTTGGCATGCATTGCAGACTTGGATGACCGAGCGGCAAACCAAAGGAACATGCATGACACACCTTGTTGGCAGCAGCCAAGTATGAGCGGCCCGTGTTGGACGGAGCCTTGGTAGCCTCACGGAGGCGGTCAAACTGGGCCTGATTCATCGTCATGGTCTTGGTGAAATCAGCACTCTTGCTGACACCACCAGAAGTGGAGCCAAAAATCTCGCGTCGCTTCTGCATCAAGGGAATAAGCATTGAGAAACGGGCCGACGCACAAACCAAAGACAAATGCACGCGCACACGAAAATTAACGTCAGACGAGAATGACCAAAAGCCCAAGAGTGCATCAGCAAGTTTATATTAGCATGGAACTGGACGCCTCGCGCGAACTTGGTCGCAGAATGAGATGGTGGACCCCGGCAAGTCGCGCAGAGTCCAACAAAAGAACATGCAGACACACGGTCGTACATGTCCCCTTGCAAGCCAAAGCAAAACCAGACGGGCAAAGTGCCCTCCATCTCAAACGACCAAGCACGTGGTGCAAAACGCCTGCAGTGACAGAATGCACCACCGTGCACAAGCGAGCCGGAAAACCCGGCCCGCAAAGCCCAGCAGCACACCCGCGCCACCGCACGCTCCGATTAACGAATGGATAAACTAGATTTGCATCAGCGCACTCTCTTGTATTGGACAATGACCGGTACCCACACAACGCACAGCACAAGCTCGGAAGAAAAAAACACGAGCAAAAACAATAGAAAACAACACAGCAAACAGAGACGATAAAGATCCGTGCCGGATCAAGAGATAATATGATAGACACACCTGAAACTCGGCAGCCTCATGTTGAACAAAGTCGCCAAGCTCATTGTTCTTCTTGTGACGCGATTGGTAATTGCCGGTGCGGTCATGTCGCTGCTGACCACGGTGCTTGTTGTTCTGCACGAAAATAACGACACGATCCATTTCCATGTCTTGAAAGTTCTCATCAGCATCAGAACCCCAGCCATCGTCGTCGTCTTGGGCAGAGCCCTTGGTACCCTTGGCAGCACCGCCCTTGCCCTTAATTTCCTCGTCAAACTGGAAGGCAAGTTCATCATCATCGTCGTCGTCGTCGCCGTCATCATCTTCAATGCCGCCAAAGCCGCTCAGAGGATCCTCCTCCTTGGCAGCGGCTTTGACAGGCTTGGCCTCCTCCTTACGGCGAGACGAGTTGACGACCTGCCATTCATCTCCACCTCGAGTGGGAGTTGGCTGTTCCTCAGCAGCGGGGGCAACATCCGTCACGGTCACGTCGAGATCGTCAGCCGTGGCAGGACCAGACGCCTCTGTTTCAGGAGCGACAGGGGTAACCACGAGCACGGGTTCTGTTTGGCCGGGCACAAACGATTTGGCCAAAGGAGACAGCTTGACGGGTACGAGACCCTTTTGGAAGCCATCCTTGCGGGCAATGTGACCATCCACGACCTCCAGCTCCTCGCATTCGGCAGCTACCTCAAGAATTTGCTCGGCATCCTTGGCCAAAGGTTGGATGGGCAGAAACTTGAGAAACTTATCCGCAGGGCAGCCCTTGTCGTTGAGATGCGCGCGCAAAAAGGTGTCGCGGACAAGGTTATCCTTGCTAAAATAGTACTGCAATTGTGCCTTCAAACCATCGCGCAGGGCCTGTGCACCATAGAAAACGACAGTATCTTGATAGGTGGGAACGTAGTTGGCCACGGCTTCAGCCTCAGCTGGCTGGGCATCGTTGCGACCAGAACGGCCTTGTCGGCGGCGAGAGTTGTTGTTATTGTTGTTGCTAGCGGCGGGAGCAGCAGCAGCAGCAGCGGCATTATTCGCGCCCTGCTGCTGAGGGTTGCGACGCGCACGACCGGGGTTGCGATTTTGTCGTGCATTTTGGGCACGTTGGCGTGAGGGCGCAGGAATGGCCTCGGGAAGAGGCACCCACTTTTGGCCCTTCTTATTGGCGCTGTCATCCTTGCCTGCGGATGCGACAATGGCAGCCGCGGGCTGGCCTTTGTTGCTCACCTTACCGGGGTTGGCCGGTGCGGGGGCTTGCTGAGCCGAGGCGTCGCCCAGCGACGGGTAGGCAGAGCTGTCAATGTCGGTGGCAGGCACAAAAGCTTGGGCAGATGGGGTCATGCGTTCGCGCCAGGGATTGACATGGCGGCGAGGCGAAGTAGGCGGCGTGGGCAGGTGAGGGGGTTGGTCAGCGGCTGCTGCCAAGGCACCCTTTTTGCCCTTCTTGCTCGCCTTGGCGGGTTTGTCTGCAGCGACAGCTGGCTCAGCCTTTTCGGCCGCACCAGCTTCCGCAACAGAATCGGATGTGGCAGTTGAGCCGTCAGTTTCACCGGTCTGCTTGAGCACTTCCGTGAAGGGACGGTTGGTGGCCCAAGGGCCTTGCAATGGCGGCTTGACGGCCGCGCGGCCACCACGAGCCTTGTCACCCTTTGGCTGTGGCTTGGCATTGGGCGCAGCCTCGGGTTGCGTCTTGTCAGATGCATCATCCGAAGCAGGGCTCTTGGGCTTGTCCTTTTGCCGCCAAGACTTGTTGTCGCTCGCGCGATGAGCCGGACGGTGTTGCTTAGCCTGCTTCTTGGTAGCACGGCTGTCTGAGACAACCCATTCCGAGTCATCAGCATCATCCTTGTCCAAGGGGCGAGAGGATACGACCTCAGCGTTGGCCACAGCCAGCGGCTCGGTGGGCTGCTGAGCCTCCTCAGACATGGCTGAAGGATAGCCTAGGTGTGGCTGAGCACGAGACAGGTGCATCAAGCGCGGTGAGACTCCTTCAGATGAATGACCTTGTCAAGCGTGCTGCGCGTTCACATACCTATACCAACAGAGGCCTGTATGGTGTGTGTGTGTGAGATGCTGGTCGCACGCTCACACACACGCACGGAGCAAGTTTACAAGTTCCAAGGAGGACAAAACGCCACCAGGAACGTGGCGCTCCTGTCAAAGGGTGGAGGAGGGCGCAGCAATGAACGACAAGGTCCCTAAAAACAGAAAGACGCAGCCGAAAAGAAGTGAGGGCAGGCGCTGTCAAAGAATGCTCCTAGATAATACGCAGAATTGCATTTCGACCATGTGGGCTGCGCAAGAACAACAACTCAAAAACACGCGCGCACCCCCGAGGTCTGGAGGACCTCTGCCTTGGCGAGCTGGGGTGTCAGTCCACCAACTCTGGTTGCCTCGAGCTAGCAGCCAGGGTCGGAAGAAAGGCACCCGCTTTCACACTTGCAGCCTCAAAGAGTGCTGAATGCATTTGTCATTCCCCTGCCCTTGCTGCGCGCCGCGCCCCAGCACGCTGAACGAGCGACTGCCTTGCGCCCTTCTTCATTGACTCGGGGCCTTTCTTGTCCTCATGGTGGTGCGTGTGTTGGTTCGAGACACACACACACACACACACAGAGAGAGAAGCGCGCGCGCACATGGACGTGTCAAGACAAAGGAATAAACAAAGGAACAAAGGAAAGAGAGCAAAGCGAGCGAGCGCGCGGGAGGGAGCGGCAATGTTACCAGGTGGGAGAGAGAAGAGGAAAACGCGCTAATCTCGACCAAGTGTACGTCAACGTCAACAACACTCAACAACTTATGCGCTTGTGGCCCTTTTGCGTAAAGGAGAAAGGCACACCACACACACACCATAGAGCCAACACATGGAGGTGGTTGACACAGTGGCCGGTGCCCGCGTGGTGACATGTGGGTGGAAAAAAAAAACCCATTTGGTAACACCTGGTAGCGTGATGGCCCTTCAAGTGTAACGTACACATTACTGCTAAGCGCTCGGAAAGGTGCAGGATAAAGTTTGTATAGTTGTAACGCCGTTTTTCATGCCATGACCTATAGTTCTGCCAGCCCAAGAATCAACCGTTCACAACACATATTTCCAACATTTATCTGACAAAGAGCGAGACCTCGAGTATTTTCATCTGACAAACTTGTCGGCGGCTGGCGATGAGCGATCAATCCGTGGCGAGATCGTCCATCAACAACCGACAGCAAAGCAACATGGCTGATCCGGCGCAGCAGCAGGGCACGGGCGAGCAGCCTGCCAGCCCGGCATTGGGCACGGAGCAGGATGAAACAGACAAGGGGGAAATTTCTCAGCGCGACACCCCTGCAGGTGCCGAGAAGGGGAAGCCACGCAGCCCTGACGGAGCACCTCTGGCCAAGTTGCCTCGGCGCAAACCCGTGCGCTCCCGCGCTCTCAGCATGGCTCTCTCGGCCGTCAAGAGCCAACCATCAGCCGCTCCGCTGCCTGACATCGCACCCAAAGAATCAGTGACGGTGGAGCACGACGCGCCGTCTGTCGATCTGAGGCCCGCGTTGGCGAAGCGCCTTGGGCCGCGCGTTGCCCGGCCCACCACCGCCACTGCAGCAGATGCGCAGGCGGCCGAGGCCATGGATCGGAAGCTGGCTGCCTATCGTCGGAGTCTGACCCAGGCCTCGACGTCTGCTGCTGCTACTAATCCCGAGCCCAAGCTCGAGGCTACCCCCGTTCCCATCGAGCTCACTCACTGTGCGTCTCCTATTGCGCCAGCCCCTCTCCCTCCTCCGGGCTCAGCAGACTGCTTGCTGCTCCGGGTCAATGTATGACCCAAGCTGCACGTTATGACTTGTAATGACCTTGCTTGCCGCGTTGCGGTTGTGTAGACTCCGACGCGGTCAGCCTCAGCGCATCGCTCTCGCTTGTACCTTGTCCCTACGTTACCATTGCTGCTGAGCCACCAGCCCATGCCGTACTGCCGGTAAGTGCACGGAGAGCAGGCCCCGCCGCCCATGCCTGGTCACGAGTTGGCAAGCCTCACGTGTCTGTGGGGTGGTGGCTTTAAGGTCAATGCATGGGACATTCTGCAAGAACTCAAAGCACTAACGCAGCGCGTGACCAAAGATGACCTCCAGCTGCGCGCGACTCCAGCCGCGACACACGGGGCTCTCTTTCGTGGTCTGTCTCGCTGCTGGCCGACCCTCAACCTATGATCCATCCAGTAGCCATTCCCAAGCCAATTTACGTACCACTTCCGCTTGTGGCTACCGTGACATTCCGATGCCCCTGCTTCCTTGTCCAGGCACCGCAAGCTCGCCAGCTGTGGCGCAGGCGTTACAGCAGCAGCTGGATGGTCATCGCCTCACCTTTGCCGGCGTAAGTGATGTTGCCTGTTCAAGGCCCGAGCTGTGCGCCTGCCTAATGGTAGGCATCTTGCTCTTCAATCGCCACCGTGCATCTAGTCGGCCACTGCTGTTGAATTGCGCGTCATCGCCTCGGCTCAAGCTGAGCTAGTACCCGTCGAGCAGCCCTTTGTTGGGGATTTCGGGACTCTACAACTGGGTCAGCGCCCGGATACGGTGCTACTGCGCGAGCTTCCTTGTCTCTGGTTTAGCGGTCGCGCGCGTCCCCCGACAAGGGAGCAGTTGATTGATATTTTAACCCCCCTGGGGTCCATCGCACGAGCTGCCGTGATCGAGAGTCCTCAAAGTGAGAATGATGACTTTGATCCTCTGCGCACCATCACCTTTGATGCCTACGTGGCATTCGAGCAACCAGAAGCCGTGGCCAAGTGCCTATCCCTGGCTCGAACCCATGTCTTGCATCGTGAGACTCCCAAGCGGTCCTTTACGGTATGCGGGCGTTGCTGCAAGTGTGAGGTGGTCATGGCCCTTGCCACGTCAGCTTGACAAGCACCATGTTTGCTCGGCAGGCTGATTTCAACGTGGAGTTGGATACGACTGGGTACCTCTCTGAGCGAGCTCGTCGTGCACGCCGACTCGCGCGTCAAGAAGCCGAGGTGAGCATTGGCTTTCCCCGCGGCGCAGAATCAGCGCCGCCACCGCCAAAACTGTTGGTCTTCGTTCAGCCAACCGACACAATCGTGGGTCACTGCTTTTGGTCTGGCGCGTAGCTGCGTGCTGCCGAGGCGGAGCGTGCTGCTGCTGAAGCCGAGCGCTTGGAGCAGGCACGGGAGGAGGAACGTCAACGCGAGGCCGAGGCGCGCGAGCAGCGGCGGCTCGAACGGTTTGTGCGCGGTCCTGTCCTGCTCTACGGCGACCGCGACGCACTCGGCTCCTCCACCTCCATGAACCTCCCACCAATCATGTGCATGAATTCTGGCCTCCGCTTTGTCTAGGAAACGGCAGGCAGCAGAGGAAGAACAACGGCGCCGGGAGGAGCGCGAGCGGGAATTGGCTCGCCTGCGCGAGGAAGAGGCTCGGCGCCGTGCCGAAGAAGCCGAGGCAGAACGCCAAGCAGAATTGCAGCGCGCACGTCAACGTCAGGAAGAGGCCGAGCGTCGTCGCCGGGTAAGCAAAACTGTGCTTTTGCCTCAGGCTTCGAAGCCCGCCTTCCTCACAAGACGACCCGGTGGGCGGTGCATTTTGGACATACCATGACAGGAGGAAGAGGAGGCAGAGCGCTTGGCTCAAGCCAAGCGTGAGCTTGAAGCTGAGGAGGCCCGACTTGAGGAGGTAAGAAAAAAAAAAGTCTGGCCCATCGAGGCGTTGGCGCTGCGCGTGGCAGAGATTGAGGGGCTTCTATTGAGACAACAATGCATCAGCTGAACGTGTGTCGCCGTGACTGCGCTGTCTCAGGAGGAAGCAGCCCTACAACGCGCATTGCAGGCACGCCTGCGTGCACAGCGGGACGCCGAGGTCTGTATTTTGACGTTTCGATCACGACACTTGGGTGAGAGTTTGTGCGTGGTTGAGATCACGACGGTGACTTGTCCAATGCTTGTGACACAGCGTGAGCAAGCACTCAAAGCGAAGCTGACGCAAGAACTTGAAGCACAAAAACGGCAAGCCATTTTAGAGTAAGTGCTCCAGTTGTGCTCTTGGCGTGGCGCTTTTTTCTGGCTGAATGGCGGGTTTTGTGGTTTGGGGTGTCTGGCCGCAACTTTCTGTTGAACTGTACAATGATATGCAATTGGTGCGCACCAACTCACTGGCGCTTGGCGCCTAATGGTGGCGCAGCAAAATGCGAGCACGACAAAACGCAGAGGCAGAGCTACGCCGGGCGGTCAGTTGTCTCGTTTACCGCCTGCCCGTCACTTCTCCAGGGTTGCAGTGGTGAATGGCCTTTGCTTCTGGTTCTGACCTCCACATGGCGTGGCTGACACAACACAATCGTTACTTCGTGCATTGCGTTAGGCGGCACTACAAAAGCTGCAAGAGATTCGGCGGGCAGACGATGCATAGGCCGCGGTGCGGCGCGGCAGAGCCGATGCTTAGTCGGAGAGAGTGCCCCTGTGTGAAGACACCGAAATCGAGGCGTGATGTCAGAACTGCTCAGCTGAATGTAAACCAAAGTGCGATGGCAACGCGGGTTTCGACGCGGGCGGATGCCGAACTGACCGCACGGGATATTTCATGAGAAACTTTTCCTTCCACTCTTGCAGCGTGGAGAGGGCTTGGTCATCGAGATCGCTCAGGTCATCGGCTCCCTCCGTGACCTACGTGCAAATCAAAGGCAGTAAGCCAGATGTCTGGTGGCATCCGTGAGCCCACAGCCAGCGAGGCAACGACGCACCAAACCAATCTGCATCGTTGCGAGGCCGCGCGAGGCATCATGGCCGGCAAACGCTTCGTACGGGCCACCTGCGCCAGCTGAGTCGTGAGCGAGAAAAAAAAAAAGAGCAAGTCGAGAGAGAAAGAAGAGAGAAGAGAGAGAGAGAGAAGCAAGAGAAGCGAGAGAAGCGAGAGGAGCGAGAGAAGAGCAACATGGCACAAACCTGGACCGTAAAAGTCGGCGCCGGCAGTCATGTCAAAGACAACGCCGTCAACAGCCATGTAAATCGCCTTCTCGCCGTCGTGCTCTTCAATGGGATTGGTCCCATTGTACCGCGCAAGCTCAGCACGAGTAAAGGCCCGCTTGGGCAGCTTGTCCGAAGCGCGTGCCGGGCCCAGGTTGGCAGGTTTGAAGATGCTCCAGATCATGTACACCACCACAATACCCAGAGCCACATTCAACGGCGTAAACACCCCCTCAACCTGGTTCTTCATGCCGCACTCCATCTCCGCCGGTCGATTCATCACAGAGAGAGAGAGAGACAGAGAGAGAGAAAAGCAAATCGGCGCTGTGCCACTACGGAAGTGTGATATCCGAAACACTTTGGACGAGTTCTCTTTGCTGAAAAGCAAATTGTTTCAGCTTTTCTTTTGAGCTCAGAGCGATTGTCCTTTTCAGCAGACAGTGTTTGTCAGCATGTCAGATTTTCCTTGCTGCTGACGCGATGCCTCAGCAGCAGCGTACCAGCGGGCGCCGGCCCAGCCCGGCCGAGTCTTGGTGGCGGGGATCGAAGGGGGTTCATGTTGCAATCGTCGCAGGTGTGGCTCTACTTGCTTTTTACCTGGGTCGGCAGTCCGCAAACTCGGGAGCTACCATGCAGCCCTCGGCGACGAACTTGGCATCGGGATCGTGTGCGGTTTGGCAGCAAGAACTCGAAGCTGCGCACCAGCTCCGAGGATCCAACCCACATACCTATGCTGCCGCGGCCTTGCGCATCAACGCCAGCTTGAGCAACCATGCCGCTTGTTCAAATCACGAGCGAGGTCGACTTTTAAGTCAGATCGCCGATGCCTCTGAGTTTATGCAGCAGCTGGACGCAGCCGTCCAACTTCGTCGACGGGCTGTGGCGGCCTTAGATCGACAAAGCAGCGATCATGTGGCCGAGCTTGTGGCCCTGGCCACCGTTCTGAAGCGTACTGGCAACTTTGCGGAAGCGTTGGCGACCACCGAGCACGCCTTGAAGCATCCTCGATTGCCACCCGAAGCGCCTAGCCTGCTCCTACGGCTAGAGTCGGACATCCTCGAATGCAGTGGCGATGTCGTCTCTAGTCTCATGCGCGTAGAGCAAAGCCTCAAAGCGCCGGGAGCCCCAAAGTCACGCCCGCTCAGTCACGCACAACATCACGCCATGCTGCTGCAACGCGTCTTACGAGAGCATGGCTCGGAGATGCCACAGACGGTGCGTCGGGACCTCACCCACAAGGTCGAACAGCTTCACGACCTGCTGCTGAGCAAAGGCCCATGGCTCAACGCCCAGCAACTGCCCAAGCGCTTTGTGCCTCATCTCACTGCGCAGCCGTGCCATGAAATCCACGACCATGCATCCGTTGCAAAAGCCGTCACGCTCCTCAACGCCGCGACTGCTGAGCTGGCAGCCGAGTACCGCCTGCTTAATACCTCCCAGCAGCTGCAGGAGGAAAGTGAGTGCATTCACAATCCGCAGGAAGGTCGTTGGCGGCGCCACGAGGTGACCGGCTACTGGAATCCGCCCAATCCCGAGGGCAATTGCAGCGCGGCGACCCCCGTTGCTTGCAGAGTTTTGGCGGCGTTGTGGGCAGCCGGTTTGCCCGTGTTTCGCCTTGGTTACAGCGCCATCGGGCCCGGCACGTGGCTGCGCCCACATTTTGGCGTGACAAACTCGCAGCTCAAGTTACATCTGGGCCTCATCGTGCCAGAACCTGATGCCGATACTCGTTTCCCGACCGAGGACGGCCCAGCCTGTGCCGTCTTTCGCATCGGCGATCGCTACCGAGCATGGCGCCAAGGCCAGGTACTGTTCTTTGATGACAGCTTTGACCACGAGGTGTGGAATCATTGTCGCGAGGAGAGAGTCGTTCTCCAAGTTGTCTTTGCCCACTTTGACCTTCCAGCCTCGACCCAAGTGCGCGATGTTTTTGGTGCCCTGGATGACCACTAGCTTCATCTTCCCGACAATGTGATCACTTGCTCGAATGCGGACATGCTCGGCTTGACGAGCCTGCAGAGCAGGTCTCCTCTCGTCGACCAGCCTGTGTATATTGTGCGTGCCGTCTGGCCCTTTGTCTCAACAATCGCACGAGAATTTGGTATAAACGAGCATCTCTAGCGAGCGTCTCTAGCGAGAGCGTCTCTTTTGAGCGTCTCTCAGGTCATGAGCCTCTCACACGAGCGTCTCCAGTCTCGATCAAAGGCTTCTGATGTCGAGCAGTGGTTCGTTGCACTGATCCATATTAATTGATGATAACAAACACCTACACTCACTGTATTGCAACATCGGCTGATGCTTTCATCAAAAGGGTTTGCGCATCACTTCGCAGTGATAACGTTGCTACTATAAGTGCTCTCAGCCAAGTTGGCGTCGTTCATTTAGAACAAGTTGCAGCGTTTGTATTGACGACTTTGGTTGATGAAGATGACAGTGGGTCGGGGCATCATGTCAGTGTGTGTGGCGGCGTGTCGTGCAAACTGGGCGTCGCGGTCCATGGGGGCCGGGCGGTCCTTGGCCATGTCTACGGCAGCTTCCTCTCAGCCTTTTGGAACGGGGTGGATCAAGGAAGAGGAGCGGGCAGGTGGCGTCTTTGGTCAGTATGCCGACGAGTACGATCAGTTGCGGCCTCATTATCCGGCCTCCCTCTGGGATTTGGCCATCAAGCATGTCCAGATGCGCACCGATACTGAGCCATGCAGTTGGACCGCCGCGGACATTGGTTGTGGCACGGGTCGCGGCGTTGCAGACCTCTACCGGCAGGGTTGGTCTCGCATATATGCCTGCGAGCCTGATCCTGGCATGCTGGGGGCGACTCGAAGCAAGCTCGAGGCTCGCATCGCCGAACACCCGTCCGCCTCGGGCACCGACGTCGAGTATCGGCAGTGCACAGCCGAGCAGACTGGTCTGCCCGCCCATTCCTGTGATCTTGTCACGTGTTTGCAGGCATGGCACTGGGTGGACCTCGTGCCCGGACTCGAGGAAATGCGTCGCATCCTCAAGCCCGGCGGTGTCCTGGCGCTGGCCTGGAACGATCGCGACCTGACTGACCCCTTGGTCGCAGCCATGGAGGAGACCATGGAGGCATACAATCCCCACTACCAGCGCGACGCCCGCCAATGTGATGCCTGGGGCGAGCGTCTAGTGACCCACAACATCTTCACTCTTGAACTCCAAGCGGATCTTCCCAACCAGCTGGGTCTGGCCAACGCAGACCAGGTCCTCGAACTCCTCATGACCTTTTCCTACGTGCGCAACGCCCTCACGTCCACACAGCAAGATGCGTTTCTGACCGATATGCGCACCCGGCTGGATGCGTTTACCTTTCCCTACTCCCTCCCCTTGCTTACTCGTCTCTACCTTTTGCGCCCCACCATGCCGTCCTAAGATTTGATCCTGCCCTTTGAAAAGACCATGTACATAGCCATGCGCGCTCCCTGGCGGAGCCGATTGACAGTTTTATTTTGAATAGATTTGGCTTTGCATGTAGAAGGTCAGAATCGCTTATCAGCCGCGCTCTGCGTCGGGCTTTACCGATGCCACGAGCAGAACGGAGCAGAACAGAAACAAGAAAGAAACAAACAAAAAAACAAAAGCAGGAACAGTCAAGAATGCACAAGGCGGCGTGGCTCGTCATGCAGATGCCATGCGCTCTCGCTCCAAGTGCCTGGAAGCAACGTCCCATTAATCTTTGCAGTCTCGTGCCGGGCTCGGCCCGCTCACACAGCGCAAAGAGAGGTGCACTAAAGAAGTCGTGGCAGGGGCAGGGTGCGACCGGCCGGTCAGCCACTTCAAGCTCGCACGGGGGCAGGGGCCAGTCGACCTCGTGGGGGTGATCTTGATGGTTTAACGGGTTGCTTAGTACTGCCTCTAACGGGCCGCTGACTGCGGAGAGACTCTTTGAGTGAAGCCAAACCTGGTCGCAGAGCAGCCGAGGTGTTGCCGGGCGCGCACGCCACTGGCCGAGGTCGACCTTCGGAGGCTGCTGGGGCTGCGGGCAAGTTATGAGCAGCGCGCATGGCATCGTTCACCAGATTAACGCGTGTTACGAGTGCGTGAGCACGGTCAGCAGCCGTTTCTAGGCTTGCAGCCGCGTGGGCTATATCCTGCAAGATCGCCTCAGCCTCCGAAGTCGCCTGCTTGACCCCGCGGTGCAAATTGATGGGGCTCGCATAGCGCTCTTCGTCGGCATCGGGCATATCATGCAGCATGAGATTAACAGAGCCGCGCCGGCGCGAGCGCTGGGGGGCTTCGCTCTCCCGCCTCGTGCCCGTCAATTCCCTTTGATGCTCGCGAATGTTGTAGAGGTTATTGTTTGCCCAGATGATGGTGCCGCGGCATGCAGCGATATCATTGGTGAGGTTGGTGACGGCCTCGTCTAAACTTTGGTTGGCGCCTTGAACCTGCCAGATGCGATATGGATGCGTGAGCACGTGCAACGGGCACGCAGGTGCGGCACAAAATACCGCTTGGGCTCACCTTGTCCAGGCGCGCCTCCACTTGCTGCCGGCGCTGGGCCATGAGGGCGCGTTGATGGGATTGGTGTGCTTGTTGTGCCTGGTATTCGCGCTGAAGACGCGAGCAGCCCTCTCCTGCGGCCACGTTCGACAAGCGTGCCGTTTGCATCTGCTGCTCCAAGGCCAAAAGGGTGTCGGTGTGCTTCTGCGCTTTGCTACGCACTTGATCCAGCTCGAGCTGCTGCGCTTGCACACGAGCCTGCGCGTGCTCCACTTGCCCTCGCAGATCCTTCAAGGGCTCACACACACACACACACACACACACACACACACACACACACACACACACACACACACACACACACACACACACACACACACACACACACACACACACACACACACACACACACACACACACACACACACACACACACACACACACACACACACACACACACACACACACACACACACACACACAACAGGTGCGAGTTAAAAAGGCTGAGACGTGTAAAGCAGGGTAGATCGGCCATGTTCGGGTGGGCAATCGTTCGAGCAGGAGCAAACCTGTTCGTCGGCGACACGTCGCTGCAAGGTGGCAATGTCGCGTTGCATGTTGGTACGTTTTTGCTGTTCAATGAGAACATGGCGATCATGTCGCTGTTGCAGATCGGTTGCGGCGGCCTTGGTATCAGGAATGGCCTTGCGCAGCTCAATGATATGTTGGCGACGCGTGGCATGCGAGGCGCGCAGCGCTTCCATCCGTTGCACTTGTTCGACACCACGGGCCTTGTGCCGTGCCAACTGGGCTTCGAGTTCCTGCCGACCCTGGTCCAGGCCTTTGCGCAGAACCTCAATCGCCAGCTGCTCAGCGTCCAGTTGTTGTGTGAGATCAGCCAAGTCTCGCTGTAACTTGGTGTACTCGCGTTCATGCCGCGAGATTTTGGCCTCAAAGCCAAGCATAGCACCTTCGTGCTGTTCGGTCTCGGCCACGTTGGCTCCCTCGAGCTCCACCAGTTGCATGCTTAACTTGATCACCTTCTCTCCCTACGAAGCACGAAAAACGCGTGAATGAGCCCAAAGGCTATGCGAAGCGTAGGCATGTGGAGTGTTCGTGTGCAGGGAGAAGCGCGTGATGATATTGCCGGGCAATGATGCAGTGATCAGGGTACGAAATTCAAACCTTTTCAGACATTTCCTCAACGGCAGCGGTGGCACGTTCGGCCAGGCCATCCAGAACACGCTGGCGACGCTGTGACTCGGTTTCAGCGGCCTCCACCTTGCGCTGCGCGCCTGGAGCAACAAAGGGTGAGCTTGACACAGACAGCACGCGACCTTGTCCATGTTTTCTCTCGCACAGGAACTGGTGGCCAAAGGCAAGTGCTGAATCACTGACTTCGGGCCTTTTTCTTTAGAGCCAGGGTTTCCGCATGGGCATCCGCTTGGCGCTGGCGGGCCAACGCTTGGGCATCCTGCATTTCGGTCATTCTAACGCACGGATGGGGTATTGGTTGAGAACAATGATACATAGGCCGGCCTTATGAGCGTCGCGCGCAACGGGCAGCATGCTCCAAGCAAACCTCTTGTTGTGTTTGTCGATCGCTTCGGCTTTGGACTCGCGCATTTTGTCCTGCTCTTGGCGAGTGGCTTCGCGCTCTTTCCGCACTTCCTGCAGAGATTCGTCGGCATGAGGGCGGGTGGTTGGAGAGGATGCGACAAAGTAAAGAGAAAGAGAAAGAGAAAGAGAAAGAGAAAGAGAAAGAAGAGAGGCCTTGGAAACACGTGCCTGAAGCTGTGAATCAAGAGTTTCAATGACTAGGTCCAGCTGCTCGCGTTCTTCTAAAAGAGGAACTTGCTCGTGCTGTAGCATGTCTGCTTGATGTAGCACACCGCGCAAAAGATCCTGCATGAAGGCGCGGGATGAGAAAAGCCGACAACGGTTGCAGTCCAAGCTTGGCTGGAAGGATCTGCAAGAGGCAAGAACCACTGAGTGTGTCAAGTCCACTGTGGGAGAGAATGATCACCTCAAGGTCATTCATGCGCTCGATGATGGCAGCATGGGCGCGCTGGTGCTCGGCTTCAAGAAGCTCTTTTTCGGACAAGAGCGAGGCAGCGTTGGTGCGGAGATTATGCTCTAAAGCTTCAGCGGCTTGTACATCGGCCTTCATCTTTCTATCCAGATCTATGGACGACATGGTGAGGCGTCACCGTCTGCAAGCGCAGATTTGGCGTTTTTTCACAATCATGTGGCATAAAGTCATCAAGCACAAAAGGAGGTGCTCTTTACCTTGGTACTTGGCTTGTAGGGTCAAGGTGGCAAGTTCGTATTGATGACGGCGCTCGCGAGCATCTGCAGCACACATCATGTGCTGGGCTCGAGCGGCAACAGCCGCATCGAGTGTTTCGGCAGCACGATCGTATTCGACGCGCATGGCAAGGCGCTTGGCCCGCTCTTGGGCTGCTTGAGCAAGAAGGGCCGATTCTTCAGCAAACAGGGCCTTTGTGCGTATCGTGGAGACAGGGAAGAGATTGACGTCAGTTTGGAACCAGCAGGGAGGCTACGCAATCCATAGAAGCATTGGGGGACACGCTGTTCGAACCGCGGGACGAGGCTTGAGGGCTTCGAGTTCGCTGTGCAGGGATTGAACCATGGCAGCTGTTTTGGCCCGCTCGGCCTCGAGAGCAGTGTCCATATCATCATTGAGGGCAATGACGGATTGTCGATGCTCCTGACGCAAGGTATGTGTCTCAATAGTCAAGCCCTCGAGAAGATCACGGCAGTTGCGGCGTGCGACATCCTAGCCAATTCAAAGTCAATAAGTGGAGGCGCAGGCAGGGTTGGGTGCGTGAGCCGGCGGTTGTGTTTGGTGTGGTGAAGAAGGCAAAGTATGAGCAACGTTGGGTACATACGAGGGCCATCATATCTTGACCGAGCTTGACCAGTTTGGCACAAAACTCTGCGCCCAGCGTTGTCATCCATTCTATGTGTCCCAATGAGGCAGGGGCAAGGGGGAGATGAGAAACGGGTGTGGTACAGGCTGCTTGAGCGCGGTGCAGGGCGTGTTAGCGACAGCTTTCAAGCTTTTCCCTACCTGCTGCTGAATTGTTGAGCGAGTTGCGCATGGCCTGAATAGCAGCGCTGAGGTGGGTTGGATCATACAGAATGGCTGGGGCCGGCTCATTGACTTCCTCGTCCACGCGGGCCAGGCCTTCCTTGCTGGTGGCCATGGCCACGGTTGGGCTGGCGGTGCGGCAGCAAAATCAGAAAGGCCACCACGGATAAAACGGGTGATGATGCGTGCTCCCGTAGTCTGCCGAAGAGGAAAGGAGGCCTAGCGCAGCGGCGCAGCCAAAGGCCGGAGCGCGCCAGCGCTGAGCATCTTTCACGTTTTGACGCCAGTCCAGCCGCCTCAAGCCCACAGACGGGCACGGAAAGCAAGGGTTATGCGTGCCAAAGGCAAGATCTATCCACAACACAGTCTGTTCCTATCAGCCCGAGTCCTGAGAGCGCCGACGCTTGATGAACGGAGGCTCTGCCGCTGGATTCGGTCTGCGAGGAGGGTCCGACTGCCGTCTAGAGAAAAAAAGTTTTTGAATTGTCAGTCGTCGCCAAGGACAAAATGTCAGATAATTTCTCTGGGAACGGATCATACGCTCACTGCTTTCGTATTTTTACGCCAAAGGGAGTTTTGAGCTGGCGGGTGATGGGGCACCGATGGAGGGAGGGGAGAGAGTCGGAAGAGTGCAGTCAGTCCGCTTGAAGGACTCGGTGATCTGAATGACTCTTTGCAAACCACCACCATCACACCACCACCACCATCATCATCACCCACCACAAACCAAGTCAATTAGGCACAGTGAGGGAGCAAAAAAAAAAAAAAAAGGTTCGCGCGCAGCGCGATCGAGTAGGGTCAGGAAAAAGAAAAAAACAAGGAGGCGGCGGGGGTGCTAGACTAGGGGTGCTGCGTAGCAGCGAGAGGGTCGGCGCGGGGTCCGTCGGGTTTGGCGCGCTTGCGAGCCGGTCGATAGGCTTGCATACCCTGAGTCGACTTTTGCACCTGCAGAGGCATTGCTTGGGTTGAGACAGAGGCAGGGATGGGCGAGGGAGGGTGAGGCGGGAGCCAGTTCGACGTACTACTTTGCGGACGACTGTTAGGGGGTCAAAGTCAGTGGGTAGCTGTGGGCGGTGGGCAGTCATCAGAAACCCGAGCAAGCACCGAATCTTTGTGAGACTGGTGCGACGTGCATGAAGGGAGTCCGATGTTGAGGGTGACCTGCCTCAACGGTTCGGATGCGATGGCCAAGAAGAAAGAGGTGATCGAGCTCCAGCCGGCCATATCCTTTGGCCTGGTGTTGGGTCCACAGGATTGGGCAAGCGTAAGATGTGGGGCATGAGGCCAGGGATTGCACGGCCAGGGCGGGGCTGCCAAACAGGCTGGGAGGTTGGTGTGAGCTGAGCGAAGGCGAACCGTGGCGGCGCGCCAGGCCTTTTCGGGGGCCTGTTCAGGCGGGCGAAGGGTGGCTTGACGCTCGTACACGGCATCAACCAGCGACAGACTAGGCGGGGCCAGGGGGCCGGCATTCACAGCTCAGTTGATCGGCAGGCTGATTGGAAGGCTGAAGCGAAGAGCGGCCAGGCACATCAGGACGGGTTGGTGCTCACTTGGTATGGGCATCGCTGTCGACAAGGCGCCCAGTGGCACGATCCCCATTGGTCAGCTCTACGTCGACGTGCTGGCCGTGCAATCCCTTGAACATGACGGCCAGCGTGGCCGCCGACTGCCGGAAATCCTGGGCCATGGCGCTGGCGCAAAACACGGCCACAACGACAATGTATTTTACTTTTCAAACCCCGATTTTACAATGTAAAATACTTTTGAGCATCTGCAACTGGTCTGGCTGGAATCAGGTTGTTTTTCGGTTCAATTTTGGTTCACTCGTCTCCCCATTCAAACGGCCATTGCAGCCGTCATACTCGATCACACTTTATTTCTTTTTAATGTGTGACGCGTGATACATTTAGTCAGGAACCGGCTTGCAGTCCTTCGGCCGAACCGCACACCCCGAGGTTACCTATGCCCTCCTACCCTACCTTACCACAGCCAATTCAAGGCCCAAGACTCTCCCTCTCTCTCTCAGAGTGTCGGAGGTGTGGAAACAGGACTCTTCATCAAAGGATCAAACAGAGGAAATGGCAGCGCCAGCCAGCATCGGAAACCCGAGGTTCTTTCAGTAGTGAAGGAGGGAGCCATTGTGTGACCGGCCAAGCGTCGCACCTCAGCTTGTTCATCTGACCTGACCCAATGCTCTGTGGGGCCCTGTGTACGTGCCGTACCATGCACGGACCCGACCTAACCCTCACCGCCCAACACAAAATACACGAGAACCCTATGGTCGCTTGCCCCCAATGCGCTCCGGATCAAACGCACGCCATAGAGTGCAAACACACAGAAAGAAACAAAAGAAACAAAAGAAAAATCAAAAAGAAAGAGAGAGAGAGAGAGAGAGAGAATTGAATTGGTTTCGGTTTGAGAAAGAGAGAGAGAGAGAAAGAGAGAGAGAGAGAGAGAGAGAGTCAAAAAAATGTATACGCCCCCTTCCCCGCCCACCTATCTCTCTCTCTCTCTCTCTCTCTGTGGGCGCGCGAGCTGGGGGCTGTCATTTGACCGCGTGCACGCTTGAAACTGACTGATCAAGTGGCTGTCTGCCGTTTTTTTTTTTGCCTTTTGGGTGTGTGATCATTTTGTCCTTGGCTGCTTGAATTGCATTGCTGGGGCTGGTTTGGACGACGCGTCGCCCTTCCCCTTGATCAAGATCCAGTACAACGGCAGCCCTGCCCTAACGCTTGGAGCCGCCCTTTTTTTTTCTTGCTTTCTTCAACCGACCCGACGTCATGGATACTTCAAGCGATGTACGTTGGTGCTTCCGACTTGTCGAGTTGCCCTTGCTGGCTGCCTGCGCCGGGCATATCGCACGTGTCGCGCTGTGTTTCTATTTGAGCATCATCTCACCTTGGCCTCGCTGCCGTTTGGTTCTTCCTTTCCCTTTTTTGCCTACTCGGTCGCCTTTCCACCAGTCAATGTTTCCCGACCTTTTGGGTGTCCAACACTATGATGTCATGGAGCAAGAGCTGACGGCCTTTTTGACGCCTGCGCACGACACCATGTTGACCTCTGCCTTTGGCTCGGTCGACTCGGCTGAAGCCGATGGCATGTGCAGTTTTGATTGGCCCTCGGCCGCTCTCGAACAAGACGACGCTCCCCACTTTGGCGTCTATGCCGAGCCTCTCTCCTCGGCTGCCTCTTCCCCTTCCACCACCGCGAGCTTGGCCGATGAAGCCACTACCCCCGTGCCCTCTCTCCACCAGATGCACCAACAACAACCACAACAGCAACAGCATCAAGCCGTCTTTACCCAACAACAACAACAACAGCAACAACAGCAGCAGCAGCAGCAACAGCAGCAGCAACAACAAGCTTCCCAGGCTGCAACGCCCGCCTACTCATCCATGGGCGAGGACGAGGACGAGGACGAGGATCGCGACCTGCCCACCATCGAGGAGCTCGAAGCTACCGTGCACGCCCATTCACAGCGCTCTCGCGAGTCAGGCTTGCGCCACTTTGCAGTCGACAGCTCGCGCGTGCCCACCTCCCTCACCGATCTCTCTGATCAAGAGCTTGCCATGATCGACTTTAAGATCTTGACCCAGCTCATGGCCGAGGCCGGCCTCTCCAAATCCGAAGTGGCCGACGTCAAGGCCAAGCGCCGCAGGCTTAAGAACCGCCTCTCTGCTCGCCTTTGCAGCAACAAGAAGCGGGAAAAGTGCTCCGAACTCGAAGACACCAACCGTGACCTCCTCGCCAAGCTGCGCCAAGTCGCCCAAGAGAACAAGACACTCAAGTCAGAGACGAATCGTCTCAAGGAGGCCAATACCGCCCTCACAAAATCTTCAGCCGAAGCCCAACGCGAAGCCGCGACCCTTCGTGCCCAGGTCAATCAACTCACGCAAATGCTGGCTCGTGCCGGTCTCGAGCAGAACGATCTGGAAGGGGCTGCTTTTGCTGCTTAAGCTTTGCGCACCTGCTGCCCTTTTATCCTATCACCTGTGCCGTGATGTTCATGTGCCGTATGCCTTTCATTTTTCTGTTTTGTTTTGTTTTGCCTGGTTTTGTTCTCCGTTTGGATCAAATCCACCGCGGCCTTGGGTGACAAGGCGTGGTAATCTGAATCCTTGTCGGGCTTTCTGGTCAACCACATTGTGCCAAAGTCCAGATATTTTTTTTTTGTGTGAATAGCGCTGGCCGCCTTGTTCTTTCTCCTTTTTTTGTTTTTGTCTTTTTCATCGAAGGTGCTCTGCCTCTTGATGTGTCCATGTCCCATGCCTCCGATCATCATCACTTGATGCGATGATCGTTGAGCGCGAGCTATGTTGTGCGTGACTCCAGTTATACCTGAAGCCTTGTGTTTGTTTGTCATCGTGACTCCCCGTGTTTGCCCCCTCCCTGCTTTCGACGCGAGTGTCCCTGGGATGGGAGGGCTTAACAAGTTTTACATTGCACTTGCTTCTCTCTGCATCGCAAGCATTGTGTTTGCTACCCGTTTTTTTTTTTGGTATGCAATTGTATCAAGCAAATAAGTCACCTCATTGTCTCCTCAAGTCGACAGTCTCAGTCAAAGAAACAACTACGAAGCAAATGAACACCTCACGCTGTGGACCCCGTCCCCCATCCCGCCGGTCGACTACTTGGCTGTCGCCAACCCAGCATTGTTTAGCTTGTCACGGACAGTCGCCTTGAGGGTTGCCACATCTGTGCCATTGTTGTCAATGATGATCGTGGCCCGGTCAGCGTGTTCGTGCTGCATCGCCAACCTTCGCTCAATCTCCGCCTGTCATGAACCCATGCGATAATCGAACAAGTTTGAGAAAGCGCCAGGTGGCAGCACACCACAGCTGTGCAACATGCCACAATGTAATTGCGTTGGAATAAAACCGGTCAACTTACCTCGGACCAGCCTCGCGTGGCAAGGCGGGCGTGCACAACATCGTCGTCAGCCGTCACGAGCAAGACGTGGTTACACACTGTGTGCCAGCCCGCGTCCACCAGAGCCGCTCCCTCAACCACCAATACGCGCGCAACACTATCATCAGCAGCTTCGAGTCGCTGCACTGCCGCCAATATCTCGCGCGAAAGCGCCGGATACAGTAACGCCGTCAATCGATTCATCTACAAAGTGTAGACAAGAAACTTGAGAATTCGCAAGTGTTGTCAACGGTGCCCCCCTTGTATTCCACCCAACAGCGACTGGCTCACCTGAATGGGATCAGCAAATACGAGTGCGCCCAAGCGCTTACGATCTATCACCCCCTCAGCATCCGTCACCTCTGCCCCAAACGTAGCCACAATGGCCGCGTGGCAAGCCGTACCCGCTTCATAAAGCGCGTGTGCGCCACGATCTCCATCAAAGTACGTGAATCCGAGCTGCCTCGTGGTAAGTTGCCAGAAGCACAGCCATTCATGAGAGCACCCGACATACAAGAGAGGGAGAGAGGAGCTTGGCTTTGCATCGGCGTGCGATGCGATGCCGGTGTTCTTCGTGCGACGCCAAGGACGTATACCCACCTCATCCGCCAAGTACTTGGCGACGGTGGATTTGCCACTCCCAGCACGGCCCATCAAGCCCAAAATTTGGACCTTGGTACTGGGGGAGGTTTGGGCTGCTTCAGCCAAGCGCTGCACTGCTGGCAAAACATACTGAAAAGAGTTGTGGCCGCAAAAGAGAGAAAGCGGGAGGGAGAGAGGGAGGGAGGGAGAGAGGCCAAACAGCCCGCGACTCATAAGACAGGCATGAATGATGCAAAACTCAAAGTCCCAGATCAGATTTCATCCTCAATGTGGCAAGCTTGGACGAGGGCGACCTCACCTTGCGTGACAGTTTTGTATTATTTTGCTTGTAGCCAGCGACTCGCAGCAGCTGTAAGTGCTCGGTCACATCTGGCAGCGGCTGGAGTGCAAGATCCGAATCTCCTGCCAAGGTTGAAAATAGCTCCTCAACCCATGGCACGGTGCTGATAAATGGCAGTCATATCCGTGTTGACAGTTGCGGACAGACACGCGGCGTGCATTAGTGCATGAGTGCATGAGTGATGAAGAGAAAGGGCCAACATCCCGCTGCCGGTGGGCTGTCTGACCGCCAAAAGAGTGACAAACCTGAGACCTGGCTTCGAGGTCAATGCCAGCTCGCGTGAGAAAGAAGGTGTCTGGTGCATCGTCAGCAACACCAGCACGTCAACGTTGCGCGAATGCATAAAGGATAACAGCTCATCCTCAGCACCGTCCTATGTCAAGGGCACGTGTACTGCTGGTAAGAACAGAAAGCTTTCCGTCGAAGCGGCGACAAATTCCCCGCACCCGGGAAAAGAAGGCGCTGAGCGCCAGATTGACTGCTGGCAGACCGATACGAATCCGTCCAACATCGATCTGCTTATAATCCTGTGCGAGAGGACAGAGCATGTCACCGTCAGAAGAGCTACTCAAGCTAAAACGATGCCACTGCCCCAGGCAAAAGGCCCGACGGACTGTGAGGCAGACCTTGCGCAAAAGCTGATTGACTGTGAGGTGGCTGACGTCGGCTTTGGCTTGCTGGAGACGATCAAATTCGGCGTTCAGATCCCAGTCTAGAACTTCGTTCAGAGCGCCGGCCACAGCTTGATCCAAAGGCAAGCAGCGGCCCTTGCTGGCATCCAGCTTGACTGTATCGATGAGAATCGCCGATAAAAGCATCTCACAGGCCGTTGCATCCGCAGCCACCGCATCATCATCTAAGCAAGCACGGCGTCAGCAGGATCAGGTATCAAGTTGAAGGGGGTGTAGAGGATCAGAGCCCGACCCACCGCCACAGTCATTGCCACCGCGACTGGGTTGGCTGCAAGCGGGTACAACGCCTGTTTTACGCACATTGATCTGCCACTAGTGAGGCACAGGACCCTACGGGCTCGATGCGTTTGAGATCCAACCTCTGGGCCACCTCTGCGGACAGCTGGTCCTAAACAAGTAGCCATGTCTGACACAGTGAGTCACGTTGGCAGCGAGTGAAAGGCCGACGGCCGAGCAGCTGCAAAGTTGAGGGCCCTACGTCGTGGTGATCCATGACGGAGCAAACAAAGGGTGCCCATTGTTGTTGGTGCTTGGCTAGGCGGTTGTGGTCGACCAAGTGCAAACAGAGCCTAGGCATCACGTGAGGGGGCGTGGGTCAGCCCAGGGGAATCACCACATGGCTACAGAACTTATGAAGCCAAGGTTACAGGGTCCGAAGCATCAAAACGCCGAGCTTTGCGCTTTAGCAGATTGAGACATGAAGGACGTACGCATTGGCATCGGCCCAGGACTGGAGTGGCAGCTCATCGATGTAGCAGAGTTCGTCTGGGCTGAGGTTGTGGCGCCCGAGGACGTGCATAACCTCAGCACGCAGCGGGAGGTCCTCACGGGTGGTGTTGATCAAGGGCAACACCACCATGCTACGCGCCGGGTCTGTCTGGTCTGCCGAGAGATCCTGCTGCAACTGCCAGGCACGGACAAACGTGCTGACGACACTGTCCAGGTCGGAGGCCTCATTGCCCATTACAACATGCACCACCGTGTTGGCAGTCGGCCCTGCCAGCAGAGCTGTCAGCCGCTGGCGCGCGGCACGCACATATCCTAGCAATGCCATCCCACTGAATCAAGTCAGCAACGACCTCTTGATGGCCACCCTGGGTTGACAGAGCCAAAGCCGAGGGCATCAGAATGAGCAGGTCGTCGCTCGAATCACCAAGATTTTTGAATTTTTGTGGAATGTGTCTGTCACGTACCTCTAAAATAAACAGAACATCAACTTGAGTCTCTGGTTTGCGCATACAAAGCCCGTGATGCAATTTTGGGATCTCAGGCACTCCTCTGACTTGTTTTCCAGTGGGTAAAAGAGAGAGTGTGTGTGTGTGTGAGAGAGAGAGAGAGAGAGAGAGAGAGAGAGTGTGTGTGTGTGTGAGAGAGAGAGAGAGAGAGAGAGAGAGAGAGAGAGAGAGAGAGAGAGGTGCGCGCGCTCGATTCAGACCGTGGCGGCAGTCAAGAGGGCAGGCATGAGCAAGTGTGGGAGGGTGGTATCAACTGCGGGTTTTGTGTCATGATCTGGCAGATCGTGATCTTTGTTGCATGGCGGGAGGAAAGGCAGAGCTGATGGGAAACTTGTTCTGCCAAGCGTTCGGAATGTGGTGGTCATGCTGGCACGTTGCGCATCACGTCGGGCGCCTCACTTGACGATTGCCGCTGCGCCCGAATTGTGGTCGACAGGCACAGGACACACGTGAGCATGGCATCCAAGGGACGGCACGTTGCCGGCGTGGACGGCCGGGACAGTGCGTTTCGCATGAACATCGACGATCGGTGCGTGTGCTTCAACCCCGCTCAATCCGCCCGCCCCTTGGTAGTCTTGACCTGATATGCGCCTCCGTGCTCGCACCTCTAGCTACAAGCAAATCAAGGCAAAGAAGGATTTGCTGGAAAAACTGTACTATGTCAACACCCTCTTCTATCTGTGCACAGCGGCCGTGGCTTTTGTCACTTATCAAGAGCTGGGTTACCCCCACATGAACTGGCTGATCTTCCTGGGCGCGTTGCTGCCCCTCCTCGGCCGCTACGCTTCGGGGCGCAATCATGTGCTGACCATGTCGGCTTTTAGCTTTGCCAGCTCCTGCGCGCTTGCCTACATTCTGTACGCGGGTATTGGGCGTGTGTTGACCGTGGCTTCGATCAACGGCTACACAGACTATTTGATCGCCGTCATTGCCTTGGGCATCTACGGCGTGTGCGGCCACGCCATGTACGCGCTCACAGCCCGTCAACTCGTGAGCCTCATGGATGTTCGAAAGAACAAGGCTACCAAGCAAAAGTAAGCATGGGTGGAGGCATTCAGATGACCGCCGACAGCAAAGCTGTCTATGGCGCGCGTGGCGCAAATTGAGCGCACGAGGCCCTTTGGGCTATTGTGACAAAAAGCGAACGTTTTGAAGCGTCCACCACATCAGAATCCAAATATACCCCAGCAAAGTGCGGGCGCAGGGGCTCTCAATTTGGGTTAGCAAGTACCCCGATGTGCACGCGCGTGCGTGCTCTGCACGCACGACGTTCTTTAGCCAAGCCATAGACCAGCCAGCACGGATGTCACGGGATTATCGTGTTGTAGCAAGCCCAGCTATTCACTTGGCTTTGCTCTGGCGAAAAGTCTTGTGGCTTGGAAATGCAGCCCGCTACCCAGCCTGTTCTTGTCCCACAAAGGCACAGAAGGACATGCAGCTCTGCACGCCCACACACTCACATGTCTACTGCTGCTTCTTACTGCGAATGGCAGCCAGGCGCTGCAGGATGGGAGGGTGGCTGTGGTGCACGGCGCTGTAAAGCCAATCATGCACTGGGTAGGACTTGTTATCGGCAGACAGCTTGATGAGACCTTCACACAGGGCCTCGCCCTGTCCCAGCTTCACGGCAAAGGCGTCCGCCTCGAATTCGGCACTAGGCAGATGCGTCAGGGTGAGGTGAATGAGTACATGGTTGGGCCAGGGGGGAAACAGGCGCAGCAACCGGGGGCAGGCGCATGACAATTCCTTGTGCGCGATAAGGTAGCCACTCACCGGCGAGTGAAAGCGGTCAGGACGATGCTCCAGATGGTGTTGAGGGGTGAGAGGATGTAGCCAAAGATGATGGTCATGGCGATGAGGGTTGGGCGTTCGTTGGCAAAGCCGAATTGTTCAAAGATGGCATCCACGCCATAGAGGCGTTGGAAGAGGTAGAAGATACCGCAAAAATAGAGCTGCTGCAGCAAAAACGTCTTGTAGACATGTCCATGTTGCCAGTGGCCCAGCTCGTGGGCCAGGACGGCCACGATTTGAGGGATGCTGCAACCGCCGGCCTTTGCCTGATCGTCCGCCTCGGCCACAGCCCCCTCCGTCTCAGAGGTGACCTGCTCACGGAGTTTGGCGTCGAGGAGAGTATCAAAGAGCACGATCCGCTTGTTGGAGCCCCAGCCATAAAAGTAGGCGTTGGAATGGCTGTTGCGAACTGAGTTGTGAACCAGATAGAGCTTGGTGAGGGGGAACTTGAGACTGGAGGCCAGGGCCTCGATGGCCGTGCGCAAGTCGCCGTGGGGCAGCTCAGTGTAGGTGTCAAAGAGGGGGGCAATAAAGTCGTGGTAAACCAAAACCAGCACGACGCTACTGGCTGTGGCCGTGAGCCAGAGATAGAAAAAGAAGTTGTCGCCGGCCCACTCGATCACCTTGAGAAAGGCGGAGAGGAGAAGGCTGACGAGGGCAAGGTTGACGCCGAGCATCTTGATTTGATCCTTAAGGAAGAACGCCGGGGTCTGCTTGTTGAAGCCGTGGCGAGCCTCGAGCGAGAAGGTCTCGTAGATGCGCCAGGGCAGATCCGAAACAAAGTCAAAGAGCGAGGTCAGGGTCATAAACACGATCGAGTGACAGATGGGGTGTGTGGCCGGCGGCAGGCCCAGCGCTTCTGACACTTGGCCAGACAGGTGCCAGGAGAAGGGCATGAAACCGGCAATGAGCAAGCCCGTCGACACAATAAAGTCGCTCGAGGACTTGCTACAAGCATGACGGAGCCCACCGAGTGAGGGGTTGGGGGTGTGCGTGAGCTTGGCCGAGGCATGTCAAGACACACGGGAAAAGGGCAAGCGGGGAATGGGTGATATGGCAGGGCCGTCGGTTTGGGGATTGCCAGGCGGCACGTACAGGAGAGAAAAGGAGAGGGACTCGTAGCGATATTCACGGGCGCTATCAAAATCCTCCTGCGAAACACGACCGGCCAGGGGTGCCGGCACGGACATCCGGCGACAGGCAGCACGCTCACGTCCAGTCAAATACAGACTATCCAGCAGCCAAATGGAGGTGGTCAATCCCAAGCTCCCCCAAAACAGGGGCGCCTCCTTGACCGTCTCCATCCACACGCCCAGTGACTCCATCCTGATTCACAGTCTTCCAAAAAAAAAAAAAAAAAAATGATGTAAATGCATTCACTGCCTGCCTGCCTGCCTGCCTAGGGGCAGTAGTTCAGTGCAGCGACAGTGCAACACAGTGAATGAAACACAGAAACCGTAGCAGTTGTTGACAAAAAGTAAATTACTTTTGTGTGTGTGTGTGTGTGTGTGTGTGTGTGTGTGTGATGCTGACAAGTCGTTCTTCATCTCTCTTGCATTCAATTGGGACGGGCTTGAGATGGCGCGTCGCGATGAGAGAGGCAAGGTGGCAACAGACAAGCGACAAGCTTGCGTTGCACACAGGACACTGCAGCCGCAAGAAGACAACGCTGGGAAGCGTTTCTTTAAAGGCTGCCCTTGGCGTCCAAGAAGACCTGGGTGATCTCCTCTTTGGTCATGACACCGTTCTTGGCGCGGAACTCCTGATCGACAGCGTCATAGGCATAAGCAGCCTCCTCGGGGGTAAGCTCAGTGGTGATGATCTCAAACACCTTCAGAATGTAGGGATGGAGGCCATTCTCGTAGTCCTTGATGGGCAAGTTGCTCTCCACTTCACGAATCAGGGGCGACATGAGGATGTCATAAAAGTCCGGTGAAAGCTCGCTCTCGGAATAGATGGAAGCGACCACGCCCTCGGCAACCACGGTGGTGGTGGTGGTGGCGGGTGAGTAAAAACCATTTTGCACAACGTGGTCCACTGCCGTGACGAGGGTGGTGCGGAGGCAGTCATTCTCGTACACCACGAGCGGGGATCCTACGCCAAAGTTGTAGGCGGCGATGTAGTCGCCGTTGGGCAAGTTGCCGCACTCGGTCATGTTCTTTGTAGGGGCAAACAAAAAGTGATCGGGCGTGACGACCAGCACTTGAGGCTGGTTTTGGCTGTCAACGTAGTGGAGTCGCATAAAAGTCGTCTCGAGCGTGTGCTCGACGTGGCCCATGGTTGTAATGGGGCAGTCGATGACGGTGCCATCCGTGTTGTTGACGCACTTGAGAATGTCACCGGTGGTCATGGCCGTCAGGGGTGCACTGCTGCCGTTGGCTAGCATGAAGCGGGTGTCAGCCGCAAAACATGTAGGCGTTGTCGTGGTAGGCTGGACGGCCGCCTCGAGCTATGATACACATGTGACACGGCGGTGGCAGGTTGATGTGAGGGAAGTGGAGGGATGCAGCGTGACGATGGCAGCAAGATGTCACTCCTGGCTTTCTGCCCCGACAGTTTGAGTTGGACACGTTTGTGCGTCGAGGCTTTTCGGTCAAGTCCGCCATTTCTACTCCACAAGCACCCGCCATGAGTTTCACGTACCTGAGCAAGGCGGTCACCAAACGTTTCGTTGATGAGGCGATCGATGGTTTCAATCAGAATAGCCTTGCGGCAGGCGGCCACAGGCGAGTTCTCCGTGAAGAGGGAGGCGTTGGTGCACCCACACGACGCCATAGCCGTCGTGGTGATGGTCGAGACGATGTCAGGGGTGGTGCTGGAGCCAGGCAAAGCCGCAACGTTGCAGGGCCCGAAGGCCACCAGCAGCAGCATCAGAACGACGGCAGCGCGACCAGTCATGATGGGCAGTTGGTAAGATAGATAGGGGGCAAATGGAAAAAATGCCCTAAAGGCTCATCAAGGTTTTGTCTGGTGCATACGGACATTACACGGGAATAGCGTGTGAATCAAAACCACTTTTTTAAATCAATTTCTCTGAATAAATGTGCTGATGTTGATTCAAAATTGATAGAAGGGGAGTTGGTTGGTGTGGATGTATTTTACTTCTTTTACATCAGATAATTGTCAGACTTTTCTGGTCTTTCAAGAACGGGAACGATGATGGCGCCGGTGATGGTGGCAGCGGTGGTGCGACGCGCGAGGGGCGCTGTCGGACGGACCGGGGGCTGCTTGGGTGGGATGGTGCGGGCATTGGGGAGTGTAGCACAAGCACGGCATGCTTTGGATCGTGGATTTGTTCAGCGACACTTTGGCCCCGAGCCCGGTGCCGAGGATGATATACGCCTCGCCGTAGGATACGGCTCGGGGGTATTTCAGCAGGCGAGTTGCGAGTTGACGAGCAGGCCCAGGACAGCATCCCGTTGCATGTGATCATCTCACGGTGCTTCTTTTTGGTCCTTTTTTCTTTTCCTTGGACTTGCTCCTGCCTAGGCGGGTCATCAGCGCAACCCCGTAAGTGTGAACCCTCGAACATGCACGCTCCTTGCGTTGAATGGGTTCCTCATGCTGCCACCCCGCGCCTTTGATGTGCATAGAACACAATGATAGATCTCATCCTCGTGGTTGATGATTCGCGTGCCTTCCACGAGCGCAACAAACAGCGCCACCGTCACCATTACTCTGGTATGTACCTCACTTGCCCGGCTTGCTCATCCTGTTTCCATGGGGCGCTTGGGGCGCTTGGCTATGACCAGCTATCAACCCCTCATCGTTGCAACTGGTTGCACAGCCCTTGGTTGGCTCAACGCGCAGGCTTTAGAAGGCATTCAGCGCTGGGGGCAGGCCAAGCTGTATTATAACCCTTACGTTCGCCTAGATGGCCAGGTCAGGACATGACTGGATCCTTTGCAAAGCACCCCCCCCCCTGCTCTCGAACCGACATCGCGTCGTCGCAATCATCGCATCTTACATTGACCATGACAGCTCTGCAAGTACGGTGTTATGGGTTGGGAGGATTTCAAGGCGGACATGACCAACTGGGAAGCACTTTACGCCAGCGGCCGCCTTCACAAGCCCGTCCACGTTATGACGGCCCATGAGGATGCCGAAGCCCTCATTTACCAGAATCGCCGGTAAGTTTTGTGCCTTGACCTGGGGCTTTCAAACTTCTTGATCAGACCCTTTTCAAAAAACAAGTGCTGGGTCTTGGAACAGCGCATGACGTGCTTGGTATTGATGGTGAGTTCTGCAATTCCAAACTTGCCTTAGTGCGGCACTCTGGACGGCATGTCTCCTGTTGCCAGCACAATTTACGGAGGTACGCTGCACGTACCCATTTCAGCCCCAAGCACCGACCAAGCTGGGCTTTTGGCTGGTCTCCAAGGCTTAATGTGCTCGCTGCTCTCTGCCGCTGTATCTTCTCGCACAGACGGATCTATATACCCGTATTGCAAGCCTCTCCTACAGCGGTGACCCGCGTATGATTGTCGGGGAGAAAAAGGGCAAGGTTGAGGCCATCGTGGCTGGAAGTTTTGCAGGTGCGCGACCGACAGCTTGGTCCCCTCCTTCCCGTGGCGATCATTCGATGGCGCGCTCTCATGTGCAAGTGTACATCACCTTGCCAGGCTTTCAAGAAGTATACCAGCCCATCTGGCAGGCTTGGACGGGCGGAGAGCTTCCTTCTTCGGACATGCTGGTGGGGCATTGCCGCGCACATCTTACATGATCAAACCAGATGCTTTCACAGCGAGCAGAAGCCATATTCACTTTGTCATATATGTCTGCTGCCCCATCCCTTTGCAGATTGACAATCCGATTCATGGCCGTCGCCTCCATCAGCTTTCGTGGCTACCCAAGGCCATATTTTCAAAGTGAGGTCCCGCGTTGCTTCCTTCGCTCGGCTCTTGTGTTCAATCAGCTTGCCCTCACGCTCTTTGCTCAACTTTGAATATGTTTTAGAGTGCGCGCTGGCCCTGACCTGGCAGAGGAAGAGGTGACGCCTGCTGTCGCGGCGGGTATGTTCTTCAAATTGTGTGCTGGATGTGCGCTTAGCCCTGCCCACTGCTTTTCATTTTGCCTCTGGCCCTCTTGTTGCTTGGTTACAGCGCTGGCCAGCACCGTGCGCAGTGGCGCCACCACGCAAACCATCAAGGGGCTGCTCACAGGTGGTTTAGGTCGCTCTGCCATCTATGCCAAGGAAAAGCTCGTCAAAATGTTTCAATAGCCTCGGGCTGCGCTCGACAAGCTTGCGTGCCCGCCTTGAGCATGGCTTTGCCGCCCTACTCATAGCGGCAACCCCGACCCTTGGAACTACCACACGTCTGATCTGTTACAAAGTCGATTGAAAACCTCGATCTTTCCCGCCACCCCATGCTTAGTCGGATGTGGTAGGATGAGGATCAGACTAGGCAAGGGGGCTTCTCGCCTCCTCGTGGGATTCAGATCAATAGGCATAACACTACAGGTTTGCTAAAACAAGACACGAGTGGTTAAAAAAAAAAGAACAAAATCAAATACGAGCTATTTCTTCACAGACCAAGTCGGGAAACCAAAATGAAACCGAAAACAACAACCGCGCGGGCTCATGTACGCATAGCCCAGCCACGCAATACCAGCAATCATTGTGTGCACCCACAATGGAGGCGGGGTTAACCCACTCACGCACGCAGTGCGGAAAATTAGAGCGTTGTACCCGCCCGCAAGAGTAGCACACGTTTCCAAGCCATCGCACAATGCAGGCTCAACAGCTTGTGTTAGTGGCGGACATGTCGGAGCTACTCGGGCGCCGTGTCTTCGCTGTCACTCGTTGGGGCCAAAGCTGAACGACTTTTATTTTGCAAATATCGCGGGGCAGTGTACGTAGCGTTGGGGTTGCGTAGCGTGCGCGTGGATTCAGCTGAAACCTCAGCAGCCGTCTTGGATGTGCCATTGGACAAGGTGGGCCGACTGTTGGTAGATCGGCGTAATGCGGACAAACGCCCTTCCAACACTGCGGGCAAAATGGGAAGGGCTGCAGGGGTCATGTGTCACAAAGCCGGGAGGTGAGGTCGCGAGCCGAAATTTTGGCAGGGCAAACAGGACGAGAAAAAAGAGAGAGAGAGAGAGAGAATAAAAGCAATAAGGTGCGATGCTGTCATCCAAAACGTACAGGGGACGGGGGGAGCAGGTTGAGGGGATCGAAGTGGTCGGTTGCAGCTGATGCAGCTATAGGGTTCAAGGGGCCGGCGAAAGCCCGCGGCGGAACCATCATCGGGCAGCAGAGCGCTGTACTCGGCCTCGGCGCGCTGTTGAAGCTCTTCAGCACTGAGATTGGCATGTGTCTGGGCCAGGCGTTGTTTGATGCGATCCACTTCCTCGCGGTCTGATTTGGTGGCAAGCTGGGCGTTAAGAGAGGCCATGGCACCTTCTTGACGTTCCAAAAGGCGTTGGACTCCCTGCGTGCCTTGGTTCATGGCCAGGAGGGCTTCGTCCACGGCACGCAGGTTGCGCGCTGTGTCGCGGGCAAGCGTTTCCTTGTCGGCCTTGATGAGCAGCGCCCGCTCCACAGTTTCACGGTCGGCTTTGGCTTGGGCCAGCTCGTCGAGCTTGACACGAAGCATCTCGAGATGTTGAGCTGTCTCTTCGGCACGACCCAAGCCCTGGGCTTCACGCTTGGCTGCCTCGGAATATCGCAACTCAAGGCGGGCAATATCTCCCTGCAGCTGATCAAACAAAGCACGTGTGCCTGCCTTTTGGGGCCCGGCCGGGATGTGGTTTGTATGACCCTCGCGAGCCAGCTCTTCCAGCTCCTCAATGTTTTCACGATTCAGCTGGATCTGGCCTTGCGCGTTGACCAGGTGAGCGCGCAGGTCCTCCGTCTCCTTTTGCATATTGTCCATCCGAGCAGTAGCCTTGACAAAAACGCCTGTCTTGGCCTCGGCCAGCTCCCGACGCAACGTCTCAATCTGCTTCTCCAGCTGCAAATCCTCCATGTCCTGCTGCCATACTTGCACCTCGCGACGAATCTCAATCTGGGCATCATCGAGCTTGTCGCAGCGCTCGTCCATCAGATCAATGCGCTCGTTGAGGGTCCGCAGGTCGATTGCATCGACAGCAGCACGTAAACTTACAACCTGCCGCAAAACATCGGCCACCTCTTCTCGCTCGGCCTTGCTGGCGGCCATCGCTGCCAGCTGATCCATGGCGTTTTCAAGCTCGCGGGTCTGGCGCTCCAGATCGGTGCGCATGGCCGCAATCTGCTGGAGGCCCCGCTCAAGTCGTTCGTCGCTGGCATCGATACGGCGGTTGACTTGGGCGATGCCTCGCTCAACGGTAGCAAGTTGGTTCTCCATGGTTTCAAAGCGCTCGTCAAAGGTATCCACGCGACGCTTCAGAGCTTCGACCTGGTTTTGAACGGCCCGCAACTCTTCCTTGGTGGCCATTGAGTCCAGGGCGCTGGCCAATTCTTTGCGGAGGGCGTCGGCCAAACGGGCCATGCCAGCGTTGGTGGCGTCGATGGCTGCGCCGTTGGCCTTGATACTCGCTTCGCAGCCCTCGGTGCGGGCCTTGAGCTCGGTCATGGGCACCACATGCGTCACCAGGTGAAGCCACTGC